TATGTTGAGCACAGCCTTATCAAAGCGTCGTACAACTTCCTCAATTGTAAGTATTTTGGCCTTTGCGGCTACAGGGCGAGAAGTGGGAGTCTCATTGATTTCTTCTGCGATAGCATGTATACTGAACCGCAAAAGAAACGTAACCCCAAGTAACATTGCATAAAATGTTGTCATTTAAATATCTGGGTAATTTTTGTCAAAATTTCTAAAATTTAAAATTATCTTGTCCGGAAAAATGAAATTTGATGATAAAAAAACAAAGCAGATGAAAATAAAACCGATCGCCCAAACGTATCACGGCAACGGCAATGGTAACCCGATGCACGTGAGTTCCGTGCAAATTGAAATGCACACGCGTTCCCCCATTTCTTGCCCGATAAAAATCCACCCAGATCGGATAACATTCATTCGTTATTGAATTGCTACCACATGCCAAGATTGACAAGAAATAGCGACACCAAGCCCTTGGACGATTGCAAGCTTGACAAACCGCCCGACAAGTAGCCAATGCATTTGAAGTCAACGTAAGGACCATTTACAGGCTCCAGCAACGGTACCAGACCACCAACATTTCAGGTGACCGACCACGTAGTGGAAGACCAGAGTCACCACCCGACGTCAGGATCGTCAGATTGTGCGACAGCATCTTCAAGATCGTTTTGTTACTGCTGCGGAAGCTGCTCGACAGACCATGGGGACACACCAGCGACACATTAGTGCGGACACCGTGCGTCGACGATTGACGAGCAGACACCTCCAGTGTCACAGGCCACACCGACGACCCATTCTGACACCACATCATCGTCGGGACCGTCTTCAGTGGGCAAGACAGCACCAGCATTGGCGCCACCAGCAGTGGTGAAGAGTCCCCTTCTCAGACGAGAGCCGTTATTGTATCTCAACAGCAAATGGCAGAGAGAGAGTCTTGAGACGCCGTGGGGAACCTTATTCATATGTTTGTGTTGTTGAGAGAGACTCGTGGGGTGGTTCGGGCATCATGGCGTAGGGTGGAATTGGTCTTGCACAGAGAGTCGGCCCTGTGGTCTTCCAGAACATCGGTCCAGGGAGAGGCAGTGGTGTCACAGCAGCTCGGTACATTGATCAAGTCTTGAGGCCACACGCCATACCTCATTTGGCATTACGCTGCAACCACGAGCTTCAGCATGTTAACGCCCGTGCCCACATTGCGGGAGCAACGAGAGACTTCCTCCAGCAGAATGACATAGGAACCATGCAGTGGATTGCCCTCAGTCCCGATTTAAATCCCACTGAGCACCTGTGGGACGAGATTCAAAGACGACTGAATGACAACTGCAACTGAACTGCGTCAGGCGTTCCTCAGAGTTCGGGCTCAAGTGCCTATGGCCTTCATCAACCGCCTTATCCATTCCATGTATCGACGTTGCACGGCAATCATCAATGCACATGACGGACACACGAGATACTGTCTTGTGATGCCATTTTTTCAGAGACTAGTGTTGTGTTTCACTTTAAGAACATTTGACACTTTATGTTCAACCTGATGAGCAGTTTTGCCAAGTTTCATCTTTGTCTCAAAGTATGTTTACAGTGTTTGGACAAATAAGGTTTCTCATATATCTATCCATGGTGACGTTTCTTTTGCGGTTCAGTATATATACCACGTTTTGATGACATGGACTGCCAATGTGATGTGTTCAGCACACCCAGAAACAGTAGACATGATGCATTATTAAACGTCAACGTCAACGTCAACGTGTGTAATGAATATGGGAAGAAACCTATCGACCTGTTTTATACACATGACCGTCACCTGTTAAAGATACACATCCAGGTTATATCGCCTTCAGTCAAACAGTGGCAGAAATATTATCATGTTATTCAATTGACGACTGCACACATCGGATCGCAATTGGTATGAACAATGTCGTAAAGAAAGTCGATCGTTTCAAACAAGTGCTTCAACGTGCGGGCTACGTATGAGTAAGAGCGTTAGTTGGGTTTAGCGCCGCTTTTAACATTATTATCATGTCATTATTATAACAGTTATATCATGACATGTCAGCTTAGTGAAAGCGTGAACGCCCGAAGCGATTCAGGTCTCAGACGTTTACCACTCCGGTGACACCACCGAGCACGGGTATGGTGCTGACAAACCTAGAAACATAATCGGGGTGAACCGGGAATCGAACCCACAATCATAGGTTTCTGGCGTGCCCATGGGACGAAACTCTGCACAGCGAATCGCGGCGCCTTAGAAGACTGCCCCCCCCCCCGTTCACCTTCCGAAAAAGGTAGTTATCTCCCTTTGCAAAGAAAATTAGAGTGATGTCCCCTTTTCGCGATCACTTCTGTCGAGCAAACCTTCAAAATTGTCAATTCATGATTTGCGTGAACGAAATCAAAAGGTGGCTGGGGCAAGAGCACACCGTCTGGTGCGAGCGAGAGAGGCGAAGACACATCGTTTGGATGCAACGATCTTAGTCCTACCCAGTAATGGCGTTATATCTATGACACGGAGGGGGCACGGGTGGCCCAGTCGTCTTAGGCGCCGCGATTAGCTGTGCAGAGTTGCGTCTCTTGGGCACGCCAGAAACCTATGATTGTGGGTACGAATCCCGGTTCGCCCCAATTATGTTTCTAGGTTTGTCAGCACCGTACCCATGCTCGTGGGTTTCACCGAAGTGGTAAACGTCTGAGACCTGCATCACTTCGGGCTTTCCTCCCACATTAAGCTGACACGCGTGATATAACTGGAATACTGTTAAAAGCGTCGTAAACCCCAACTCACTCACTCACTATGACACGGAAGCTCATTACACCTGGCGGATACCGAAAGTCAGAACCCACTTCATTAACGTTTGGTTGGAACGATGCTGTTGAATCATAACGGGATTCTCAGAAAGGAAATCTGCAATTACATGGTACTTAGCAACCAATGATGACAAAACGACACACGAAGGCAGTGGTGTTTTATCAAGATGGACATGTTCACAGCGTAGCCTTACCCAACATCGATGACCATATATTTGTGAGACGCTGCGTCATACCATCACTACCCACAGCGGGTCCTAAGAAAAGCCCTGATCGCAAAGTTTGGACATGTCTCTCTAAAGTAAAGTATCAGGTCGTGATCATTCAGGGAATTGCACTTGTGCAACCGGGTATGCAGACTCTACACATATGCACGTACAGTCGTTTCATCTTCATCTTAATCGCTGTTTTTCTCAATCTAAACGTTGATAACGTTTTCAAAGAAAATATATTCTAAATGTTAAGCTTGATCACAACATGTTATCGTGATTTTTGAAACAGGATTTTTCCTTAACAGGAAGATGATATGATATTTGATTATGAAGATGGGCAAACACCGTCCACTGCTTGCCGATCTCAAGATTTGTTTGTTTCTTGTTTAATGCCGCCTTCAGCAATACCCCAGCTAACTGACGGAGGTCTGTAAATAATCGAGTCTGGACCATGTAATCCAGTGATTGACAGAATGGGCATGGATCCATGCAGTTGGAATACGATGACATGCATCAGCCAAGTCAGCGAGCCTGACCACCCGATCCCGTTAGTCGCCTCTTACGACTAGTAAAATTGGCCTCTTACGGGAAGCATGGGTTGCTGAAAACCTATTCTAAACCGGATTTTCACAGGTCGTTCTAAAGAAGTTATATTCCAATGTACAGAGCGCCGTTACACATCTAAATGCTCCATCTCAGGGTATTTGAGTCAAAGACATGATTGAATAAACGTTCAACTGAGTTGATGAGATGACATGACATGAAAACTATAAGTACTGTTGATATGCTCGTGGACAGTATCATTTTCATTATGAAAAGTGCACAGTTAGACTAGACGTTCATTCCTACTTCTGGTGTGTGGATGGTTACATGGATAGAGTGTGTGAGAGATTGGCTTGATATTGTACCTATTGGCCTGGCAAAGTATTATTGTTACTAATATTTCTGTAACGTATTGAAAATGAAACTTTTGATAGTTATGGACATTTTTAAGCACCCGGATAAGGATTAAATTTGGTATGCATGGTATATTATTCTTCAGCACAAACATGTATTCCCAGCTACAAATGTCTTCTTGCTTGTTGTATGGCCAGTCTCAGTTCTATGAAATATAATTTATGTTTAAATAATCATTTACCTCTTTCATTTTTCTACCACTTCGCATTTTAACATCACCCACGTGCTTGTAATCACACTGGCTGTCTATTGAGATCACGAGACCTTGAACTCAATCCTCTGCAGTTTTTACACCCCTCGGGTCTACTTGTCCGTGAAATAATCAACAACCAACGACGTCATCTTCAATTATTAGCGTGAATGGGTTTAACGTCGCTTTGAACAATATTCCTGGTTATGTCACGGCGGATCAGCTTATTGTAGTGGAAAAGCCCGAAGTGATGCAGGACTTAGACGTTTAACACTTTTGTGTAACCCACGAGCACGGGTACGGTGCTGACAAACCCAGAAACATAATCGGGGCGAACCGGGCTTCGAACCCACGATCCCATGTCTCTGACGTGCCCTTGGGAGGCGTTCTGTACCGCGAATTGTGGAGACAGTTACTAACAAATGAACTTGTTATAGATTGCCAAAGGTATTGCTTTGAAAGCACTGTGCCACCAAAAACACAAACCTTCCATGTGATGTTTTCAAATTGAAGTCGAATTTAAATTACACGAGAACCGATTGAACTGTTATCAAAAAGAAATTAAAAAAACATAACAATATTTTCCCGGTTAAGACTGATGATCATTTATGACCGACGAACAGAAGAGTGCGCGAGCAGGCCTCAGACATTTACCATTTTGGTGAAACCCATGTGAACGGGTATGGTGCCGAGGAACGAACAACCATAATGAGGGAGAACCGGGATTCGAACCCATGATAAAGATTTTTGGCACGCCTAATGCGGCACTTTAGACGCATAGGCCACCTGTGCCTCCAGACCAACAGATGAGAAGTCTCGGGAAATTACTGCATAATAGCATCAATGGTAGGAATGGGTTTATTTATTATACAACAATGTAAACACAATATTTAGAATGGACAAATCGATAAAAAATCATATTGAAAACATATGCGATAATAAGAACTGATACTTGTAACACATAGAGGATTGTTAGAGTGAGTGGGCATGGTTTTACGCCACTTTTAGCAATATTCCAGCAATTTCACGGCGGGGGAACACCAGACATGGGCTTCACACATTGTACCCATGTCGGGAATCAAACCCGGGTGTTTGGCGTGACGAGTGAACGCTCTAACCACTAGGCTACCCGATCGCCTCAAAGGATTTTTGGAACATGTGAATATTGGAAATATATATATAAACAGAATGAACTAATAATGATTTCTGAAATTAGCACACAAATTCAAGCAATTTTAAAACATAGCTATCTGCCGGAGATGACCGTTGGTAGAAAGCTATGAAGGATGCCAATAGATAGATAAGGATGAGAATATATGGATGTCAACTTCTTTATTATGAGGAACACAACGTTTCGGCGTATATGCTTACTCCTTCATCATTCGCCTGATGAAAGAGTATGCATATACTCCGAAACATTGTGTTCCACATAATAAAGAAGATGACATCCATATATTCTCTTCCCTATGTGTATCACTTCTAAATGCCTTTCAAAGACCTAATAGATATATTGTTTAAGTTGTGAATAAATAATTCAAAGGTAAGCATTTCAAGTAATACCACGATGGTTCGTGTCGATGAAAACTGAGACTGAGACTACTAACAGACAACGGGAACAAATCGAGACGAATCTGGTATACAAACCAACGATAAGTGAAACGTGAAACTACCCAGGAACAGACACTTCATACAGTATATTTAGGAGCCTCAGATCACATGGCAACTCGCACCAAAGAGTTTTTCATCCCGATGCTGGTCCCTTTCGCTTGTTTAAATATGATGCATGGACCCTTCTTTGAATGCGTTTTCTACAAAGGAGCAGAGTTTGTTGAAGTAAAATCACAGGGTGCTTTACACTGAACCAGGCCAGGCTAAACTGTAGTAGTCGCAGTGACATACGAAGGTGGTGCTTCCATCCCAGACTTCCCCATGCCGGAGCTGCAGGGACCGACTGTCACAGACGCTTGCACTGGCTCTGGGGAGGAGAACAGGGAATACATGAGAGAAAACCATAAACTTGTGCTGCAATTTAAGTGCAACTCTAACATTGTCATGTAAGGTATCTTAGACACGTCGCCTATTCTCTATTATGTTAGAGGGCGGTCGGGTAGCCTAGTAGTTAAAGCGTTCGCTCGTCACGCCGAACACCCGGGTTCGATTCCCGACATGGGTATAATGTGTGAAGCCCATTTCTGGTGTCCCCCGCCGTGATATTGCTGGAATATTGCTAAAAGCGGCGTAAAACCATACTCACTCACTATTATGTTAGCTATCATTAAAACCCGCCATTATGGTAGTGCTTGAATATTACTAAAAGCGGCGTTAAACCCAACTCACTCACTCACCCCTCATAAAAATATTTTCTCCAAAACACATAGGGGATCATGAAATATATACGTTATGATGATAAGCTTTGAAAAATAGAACGGTTTCGGAAACAAAACCTAACGCTCCAACACACTCGAAACATTGCACGTGGGCCATGCAATTTCTCTGTGCACGAGCATTAACAGCCAATCAAATCGTTGACGCTGTTCTGCATGCTCGGCGACGAGGTTTTGTTTACCTCAAAGGTTATTCTTTATGACTTGTAGTACATTGTTTACCTGAAACGATACATATGATGACCTGTATTGCATTTCCAGTTACCGTGGACGTTATATATGATGACCTATAGTGCATTGTTGAGTTACCGTGGACGTTATATATGATAACCTGCAGTTCAGTGTTGATTTACCGTTGATGTTATATATGATGACCTGTAGTTCAGCGTTGAGTTAGACATTAATGATTACCTGTAGTGCATTGTTTAAATACAGTGGACGTTATATATGATGCCCTGTAGTGCATTCTACAGTTAACGTGGACGTTACATATGATGACTTGTGGTGCAGTGTTGAGTTGCCGTTGATGTTATATATGATGACCTGTAGTTCAGTGTTGAGTTACCGTGGACGTCATATATGATGACCTGTAGTTCAGTGTTGAGTTACCGTGGACGTTATATATGATGACCTGTAGTGCATTCTACAGTTACCGTGGACGTTACATATGATGACCTGTAGTTCAGTGTTGAGTTACCGTGGACGTTATATATGATGACCTGTAGTGCATTGTTGAGTTACCGTGAACATATATATGATGCCCTGTAGTGCATTGTTGAGTTACCGTGGACGTTATATATGATGCCCTGTAGTGCATTGTTGAGTTACCGTGGACGTTATATATGATGACCGGTAGTTCAGTGTTGAGATACCGTTGACGTTATATATGATAACCTGTAGTTCAGTGTTGAGTTAGGCATATATGATTACCTGTAGTGCATTGTTGAGTTACCGTGGACGTTATATATGATGACCTATAGTTCAGTGTTTTGCTAGGCATATATGATGACCTGCAGTGCATTTTTCAGTTACCGTGGACGTTATATATGATGACCTGTAGTGATGACCTGTAGTGCATTGTTCAGTTACCGTGAACATATATATGATGACCTGAAGTGCATTGTTGAGTTATCGTGGACGTTATAAATGATGACCTGTAGTTCAGTGTTGAGTTACCGTGGACGTTATATATGATGACCTGTAGTTCAGTGTTGAGCTAGGCATATATGATGACCTGTAGTGCATTGTTCAGTTACCGTGGACGTTATATATGATGACCTGTAGTGATGACCAGTAGTGCATTGTTCAGTTACCGTGAACATATATATGATGCCCTGTAGTTCAGTGTTGAGATACCGTGGACGTTATATATGATGACCTGTAGTGCATTGTTGAGTAACTGTGGACGTTATATATGATGCCCTGTAGTGCATTGTTAAGTTACCGTGAACATATATATGATGACCTGTAGTGCATTGTTAAGTTACCGTGAACGTTATATATAATGACCTGTAGTGCATTGTTAAGTTACCGTGAACGTTATATATGATGACTTGTGGTGCCTTGTTCTCTTCCATTTTCTTCTTCAAGAAGATTCTGCCGCACATGTGCATAAAGACAGTCAGGACCATCAGGATGCAGAATGTGCCGACGACGATGCCGGCCAACATCAGAGCTTGCATCCTGGGCACACATGCCACAAAATTTCAAGTTAGTCATTGTCTCGATTTATTATTCTATAGGATTTGAATTAGTCATTTAGAAATTTACAGGAAGACTGTTCCACTGTAAGAATGTAAATGAATCACTTATTTCCTGATATCAATATTTACACAGTCTAGACTTCCTTTCTCAAAACTAGCACCTTGACCCAGAAACATCATCTGAATGCAAATACTACTCCCATCATTTATCTTTGTTAAATGTTGAAAATTATCTTTGACGTGAACTGCCTTTGTATGATAGGAGGACGACAGCAATGTTCAGATGCAACACATTTAGATACACCAATGAGTATGGCGGTCATAACAATACGTACACTGATTGTGTGTTCGTAGTGGATGAAGATGAAGACCACGTGATGGTGGTGTGTCGTACATATGAATGTGCCAGAAATGAATGTTATCAGCAATGTTAAGTTCAGTCTTCTACACGTGACAAAAAAAAATTAATGTGGGAGGCTCATGTCAAAGGACAACATTAAGACGCTGAAAACTTGATTGAGTGCAAAATTTCGTTCTGGTGAAGCATTTATGACATTTTTCTACAGCTGTGTATTATTGTATTATAGGCTGGAGGTCTGAAATACTGCATTAGGAATGGTCTGTCTGTCTGTCTGTCTGTCTGTCTGTCTGACAATCTAGAAAATGTTTTCATTGTATACTTGAACAGTATTTCTGTTGTAGCCTCTGAGTGATCAATCAGATTCATGGTATTCTCCACAGTCAGAATCCAACGCTTTCAGTTTGTAAACAGTCACTAGCAGTGTATTGCATGTAATCAGTACAACTAACCAGCATCAATGGCAGAAAGATTAGTGATGTCATTTGATCGTGACGACATGGTAACAGATGACGTCACAATGGTCTACAAAGCATTGTCATATGTTGTGCAAGTTTATTCTGGAGATATCTCCCAAGATCTCACCAAAGTGGTATCTCCTATATATAGTCCTCAACAACAGTCAAGACTTACGTTGCGCTATTGTCCTCCTCCGGTTGGGTAGTGTCCAAGGTCTTGTTGTGTTGGCACACAGGTTCTCGTGGGCAGCAGAAACGTGTCCACGAGTCACCGCAACACCCACAGGGGCAGTTGAACAACCTCTTGTAGGGGGTCCTGGACCAGGAATGTTCATAGTCGTAGATCCAGCAGGTGTCTGCAGCCTCAACACCTGTAACTGTAAATGGCAATATATATATATATATATATATATATATATATATATATATATATATATATATATATATATATAAATATATATAAATATATATATATATATATATATATATATATATATATATAGACACAGGCGAAGTTTAGCAACGTTGGTGGCGTAGTGTAGTTGGATGAATGACCGTGTTCGGCAGCTTGGCTCCTGAGAGTTTCTAGAGCTTCGAATTCTTTCCTGTCCTATACTGAAGCACGTGTGGTGTCTCCGTATATAACCCTGTTCACCTAGCAGTAAATGGGTACCCGGTAGAATAAGATGGTAACATGACTGTTAACCTTTTAACACCTCAAATGGGGCTGTATACTCGCCAGGGAGATGAGAACGGAAATCTGATGCACACTGATCCTTTAACCGGGGAAACAATGGCGTTAACACTTTGAGCATGCTTCAAATGTATGGACTATAGCTAAATATAAATACCGGTATCCATTTTATTAGTTTTTAGTTTCATAAAACCGTTACGCCCTAACACTGCCCTTTTTTAATTCCTGTAACCTACTTGTCAGGAATCTCCCCGCCTTAGTTTATTTTGTTCAAAGCGACAAAATCATGTCCATAATTATAAGCAGTCTCGGCTAAATAAGCGTCAAATGGTACTTTTAAAAACCTCCAACCCACACAACCTAAACTTATGGGCCTATATTTGAAATAGCATATCTGCCTGTTTAATATACCCTTGAAAAATAGGGTTATAAAACTCTTAGGATTACATTTTCGTGATCGTGTAAACTATTTTCAGCATCACGATCACATTAACGGTGTTTGTCAAGATCACCGCACTGCGTCATTCAATCTATACTTATAGAGTAGTTAGATGTCATGGTTAATGTTGAATGCCTGAGTCAGTATAAAAATTCTCATTGACTTGACAGAATCCACAACAATGGACCGTTAGTATTCTCTCGATCTCTCGACCTTAGTAAGTATATCATAATTTGTATAGTCAGATCGTACTTCATAGCCAGAAGTGGGGTGGGGTAGCCTAGATGTTAAAGCGTTCGCGCTCGTCCCGCCGAAGCCCATTTCTGGTGTCCCAAGCCGTGATGATGCTGGAATATTGGTTAACATGGGGTAAAACCATACTCACCCACTCACTCACTGTAGAAATAAGTATACAGCGAATACCTGTTAATCCAGAGGATTATGTTCCTAATGGATATATATGATAAACTGAACCGATCTTTATTTAAACTCAGGCCGCGATACAAACAATAGAGATAAAACATATACATGTATTTGCATCATCGTAAATATAACCGACAAAACTCTTTCCATAATCATAAAAAACTCAACAAAAGCGACACACTCCTTTCCGCACCGGTCCATTGTAGATTCCGTCTATATCAATAGCATGTGTTGATGAATCGCAATCAAGTAATGATGACACGATGTGTTCGCTAAAAAGTGAGCGTATCCTGCCCCACCGATGGCGCACGCCACAAACGAATGCAAAAGCAAGGTTATGTCAAATGTTCACCCGAAAACAAACTCGAGAACATAAGGTACAACCCAAAAGAAGGAGTTGCATCGGACACAATTTTGGTCACTGATGCGTCAAAAGCCCTCCACATGTTCATCATAAAACGTTTTGTAAGCCTTACTAACGCATTGAATGTTGTAACCCAGCAACGTCGTATGACGCTCTTTGAAAACTTCGAAGAAAGAGCATCCTTGATTGTATCTCAACATGTAAATACCAAAGGATGGAGCCGCTGGAATATTGTTCGCCATAAAGGGAAATATAGCTTTTCGAAAGGTACACTCTAAATATGAAACAGATGAGGCGGTTTCACTGGTCTCTTGTATTTCTGACTCCCCGAGGCAAGAGAGTTAACTGACTATAAAAGTCCAGTTTCCACCCTTGCCGAGGGTCTGTTAACACCCTTGTCTCTGGCAGATGGGTTAATCACGGAAAGGAAAATGTATGGTTACTTGAGATTTTAACGATATAATTCATCGATATACTTAACCTTTAAATTGAACTTCTTCGTCATACTCCCGTGTTTTGATATTGCAATCTTGATGCAATACTTGATGTTTTGAGAATCCACATGGTATGAATTCCACTTTTCCATTAATGTCACTTCCTATATTTTCCGTGAATCTAAAGGAAGCCCTTCCTTGATTTTTAGTTTTGTTGGTTTTGCGGCAAACGCTTTGACAACACTAATAGTGATTTTACTGTTGTCGCAAATGACAGCAAGTCACATAAATATGTTCACACATAGCATTATAGATATGTCACATATCAGACACACACACATTTTGTGAGTAATCACTACCTTTGAATAGAATTACTGAGAACATAGTGTTTATATAATTATTAAGTGTGGATAAAAGAGCAGCACAACTGACATGGTTTGAAGATTTGACACAAAATATGATACTTTTGACAATGGAGGTATAACAGAACAATATTTTCAGTTTATAGGTCAAAGGTTTCCTAGAATATACAACAGATGCTTTCAAAATAAATTAAACTTCATCAATGGCATGGGTAGTTATTTCTACATGAAATAAAGTATTTGTTGAAATATCAACATTTCTTGTGTTTGCATCTTCCATCAGGGTTCAGCAAAGACACAAGTCCATATAGTAGTAGTAGCCAATAAACATTATTCTGGACCAGTAATCTCAAATCGGACTGTTCCAACTCATTTGTTCAACTTTGCTTTATTATCAGAACATTTTGAATTCACAAATTATGAAAAAAGGTGCAATTGTTTTTCATCACTGACTTAAATGAATTATTATGTTCTTGTACCTAATCGTGTTCATCAATGTTCTCTGAATGATGATGAAGCTGAACGTATTAATTTTTGGATTCCTGGTAATTATTTGATTTGGATCTTTTGACCATCACTATAATAAAATAAACATTTAATCTTGCTCATGCACTGGTCGTCTGGTCCAGAATTGACACAATTCACGGTCATCAGCGTCATGACAATTATAAAGTTTACACCTTAATGTAAAGCACCATTCATTTGTTCCCTCAGAATGAATTACACGTCATTCATTGGCCTGTTCCTCGGTGTGTTTCTCATTGGGTGATATCGCCTATAAATTAGTGTGTTTTATCTTAACTTCGGACACTTCTGACTTGATGTTGCTGTCTGCTGGTTCATCTTGGTTACTGTACAGAGGATCAACACTCCTCGATAACCCAGAATAACCATTCATGTACATGGTTCACAGAGAAACAAGGCAATAAGTATACACAGTGTAACATTACCAATGTCCGACACCAGTGTGTTAATCACTGGAACTTAAATAGTATTCACGTGAATGGATAATTAAGTGGTCTGACCATTTACATGGAATACTGGTAAATCTGTTGGATTACCCCCTCAGATATTCATGATCTAAACATATTGATTCGCACAAGCCTATCTACCTATGACTAAGAGGTCGTGGAATTCAGACAAATTAATTGAATTTGCTGGCAAGCGAAATATACATTACAATAAACGTTTAGGTGTGTGTGTGTGTGTGTGTGTGTGTGTGTGTGTGTGTGTGTGTGTGTGTGTGTGTGTGTGTGTGTGTGTGTGTGTGTGTGTGTTTGTGTTGTTGTTTTTTTTGTGTGTGTGTGTTTTTTTTTGTGTGTGTGTGTGTTTGTGTGTGTGTGTGTGTTTGTGTGTGTGTGTGTGTGTGTGTGTGTGTGTGTGTGTGTGTGTGTGTGTGTGTGTGTGTGTGTGTGTGTGTGTGTGTGTGTTCGGGTCGTGATGTGAATATTTCGAATATTGGATAATAGTAATCACAATGGCTATGTGTTCAACTATTGATTGATATGTGACACTGTCACTTTATTTTTTCTAAACTTGGTCCTGATTTACCATAACTTAAAAAGGTTTTAAATATTTTTGTTTTGCATTTTGCGAGGACCGTTATTTATTTAGGAACAATTATTTTGGGGATCATTATACTTACAGGTAGGGTTACAAGTATTTATTTGGCATGCAATATTCACTTTGTCAATTATCAAAAGGAGAGTAATTCATTTTATTTCATGATGCACTTGAAGACCCGGGTTAGAATAGGTCTTCAGCAACCAATGCTTGCCGTAAAAGGCGACTATGCTTGTAGTAAGAGGCGACTAACGGGATCAGGTGGTCAGTCTCGCTGACTTGGTTGATGCATGTCAGTGTATGCCAATTGCGTGGATCGATGCTCATGATTTCAATCACTGGATAGTCTTGTCTAGACTCGATTTTTTACAGATCGCCGTCATATATCTGGATTATTGCTGAGCGCGGCGTTAAACAAAAACAACAACAACAAAAACAAAAAAAAACAAAGAAGGCAAGGCCATGGCCTTCGTGTTCTTGGTTGCCGAGGGTGTCACCATGGTGGACTATCGTCCAAAAGGCCGGACAACAAACGAGGCATATTATGCTGCATTTATGAGTCAATTACGGTATGAAATGAATACTAAGAGACGTGGGTGGGAGACGATGTGTGCTCTTCCACCAGGACAATACGCCAGTACACAAATCAGTCATTGCCATGGCTACAATCCACGAATGTCGCTTTGAACTCCCTCAGCACCTACTTTAATCTCCTGATCTGGTTCCTTCAGACTTTCATCGGCTCTCAACCATGAGGAAAGCTCTAGCCGGGACCCATTTTGACTCGAATAATGACGTCATGGCATCTGTCAAGAACTGTTTGGACAGCCAAGTAAAGGGCTTGGCAAAAGTGTATCAATGTGAAAGGGGATTGTAATGACAACTAATACATTTTAATGTCTAATTGGGCCAATCTTTCTAGGCTCAGAAATTGTCAATCACCCGTCATGTCTTTGATGGTTCAAATCTCTAATGTACAATTCGTAATTGCGAAGAAATACCACAAAAAAATAAATCTGAATTCGAGGAAAACGGGAAACAACAAAACATCAAATACTGTTTGTGAAGAACATTCTGTCAAACAGAGAACAACTTTCG